GGTCCAGTCTGGTCCAGTCTGGTCCAGTCTGGTCCAGTCTGGTCCAGTCTGGTCCAGTCTGGTCCAGTCTGGTCCAGTCTGGTCTGGTCTTACCTCCTCTCTGTGGATCCTGGACAGATAGTTCACAAACAGGTTCTCCACTCCGTTTGAGGAACTCTGCCAAAAGAAACCAGGAACTGTTAGGACCAGGATCGACCGCTAATCTCTGTATGTTCACTACTAACAGTCAAAAGGAGCGTCCAAGAGAAGACCTATGATACCCTCCTGGCTAATGCTTAGCCTTCTTTTGGCTAACTCAAAACTATTTTAATGCTAACCTTTAGCTGTAGTCATTGTAGCTGTTTTATTAAAGATATATCCAGACCCTCAAGTCTGATCCTGGTCCCAACCCCACAGAGTAGAGACCCCTCCTCTGCACATGTCCCTTGCTCACCTCCTGCTCCTCCTCAGCTTCAGGAGGTGCATCAGGATCTAGAGCCTGCAGGGCGGCGCCAGCAGCTGATTTTCCTTCTTGCTCCAAAGTGACAATCAGGATCTGGAGAGACTGCTCCACCAGCTGCTCCCGTTGGTCGGAAAACAGGAGGTGATTGTAGGGAATTCCGTATCCCACCGGATCATAGGCACAGACCACATTCAGGAGGGAGGTGAAGAGGGGGAGGGCGTGTCTGAAGGAGGGGAAACAGAAGATCAATCAGAAGAAGGAGCAGTAAGAAGGGGAGGAGGAGAAGGAGGACCTTAGCAGATACCTGTTGTCTGAGGAGCAGAAGAAGGAGACCCAGGGGTTCAGGTGTCTGGGCTCAGAGGGGGGAGGCAGGTACATGGCTTCAGAGAAACAGGTGAGGAGCAGCTTCAGCAGCTCCGTTCTGAACCACAACATCATCATCATCATCAGATCAAAAGGTTCTTCTGTAGAACCTGGTTCTGGTTCCGCACCACTCACCTGTTCTGGTCATGAACATAGTTGAAGGGAGGAGACTGAGCGAAGCCGACGCCCGCCTCCCAGATGTACTCGCAACTGTCGATGGAGCGAACGTCTACGGCCGGGTCCTGTGGGACGAGACCATAGACTCTAGTCTGGTTCAGTTTAGTTCAGTCTGGTTCAGTTTAGTTCAGTCTGGTTCAGTTTAGTACAGTTTAGTCTGGTCTGGTTCAGTTTAGTTCAGTCTGGTTCAGTTTAGTTCAGTCTGGTTCAGTTTAGTTCAGTCTGGTTCAGTCTGGTTCAGTTTAGTTCAGTCTGGTTCAGTCTGGTTCAGTTTAGTTCAGTCTGGTTCAGTCTGGTTCAGTTTAGTTCAGTCTGGTTCAGTCTGGTTCAGTTTAGTTCAGTCTGGTTCAGTTTAGTTTAGTCTGGTTCAGTCTGGTTCAGTTTAGTTCAGTCTGGTTCAGTTTAGTTCAGTCTGGTTCAGTTTAGTTCAGTCTGGTTCAGTTTAGTTCAGTCTGGTTCAGTTTAGTTCAGTCTGGTTCAGTTTAGTTCAGTCTGGTTCAGTTTAGTTCAGTCTGGTTCAGTTTAGTTCAGTCTGGTTCAGTTTAGTTCAGTCTGGTTCAGTTTAGTTCAGTCTGGTTCAGTTTAGTTCAGTCTGGTTCAGTTTAGTTCAGTCTGGTTCAGTTTAGTTCAGTCTGGTTCAGTTTAGTTCAGTCTGGTTCAGTTTAGTTCAGTCTGGTTCAGTTTAGTTCAGTCTGGTTCAGTTTAGTTCAGTCTGGTTCAGTTTAGTTCAGTCTGGTTCGGTTCAGTTTAGTTCAGTCTGGTTCTCCCGGCTGCAGCTGGTCTACTCTTCTCACCTACTTGTATCATGTGACCCAGCAGCAGCAGCTGGGTCTGAAAATACCAGTGTGTGAGGACACAGTCCAGACACCAGGGCAGTGTTAGGATCAGAGGTGACAGTGAAGGACAGACCAGGGTCCAGACCACCATCACTGTGTCCTGGTACAGGAAACACACACATGGTTCTGATCCTGGTCCGTGTCAAAAGACAATGTGTCCAGATTCTGAAGGACATGATCACTAAGTACCTGCTACGCCACCATTAGGCCTGACTGGGAAGTGACCACAGGTCTTCAGGTGTTTGTTCTTCAGCCCAGTAACAAACACTCAGTCACTCATTAACTCCAGCAGCTGGGAGTCAGAGTGGGGGAGATAACATCTGAGGGGAGGGGAGGGTGGGGGGGGGGGGGTGCGGCCTGAGGGCCAACCCCCGGCA